TTTCTTAATGACATGCACAAACCTAAGTAAGTTAACAGATTCATATGGTTAGTTCTTTTTTTTACTGGTACTCTAAAAGCTTTTTTTTCTACTCCGAGCCATCGTATCAACAGCTTTATGAAATCGGTTTCAGACAGTGAATATGAATACAGTGAAACTGTATTTCATGTTTGTAAATTACACCCATCATAAAATTTAGTAGTCATAAACAAACAAAGCAAATGTTGTATCTGTGTCTGTTCTAATCGCAGATTTTGGAATTGTAAGCTCATAAAATAACATTTCGGAGTACATTCTGTAAAAAAACAGATTAATTATTTTTTCTCTCTTGTCAGGAGCGGCATGTGTGAAGCACATGGGAATGGCTTTCTGCATGTATGCGTCAGTTTGCTTTCACCAGCGTTATTTCAGTTGCACTTATATGGAGCTAATAATATGCCAAAACAATATAAATTTGAACTGTTAGCTTGACAGTTGTACGTGTAAATCCTAAAATTTTTTGAGTTTTAATTTCTTATTTTCAAGATGTGTGTGCATGAAAATATGTCATTTACCACAGTTGCGCTAAATCTGCATTTTACGATCTGAATTTCTGTTTTTGAAATTTAGAACATTAAATTTGATGTTCTGAATTTCTTCATCTTGAAAATTTAATATCTGCAGTCTATGAATTCAAAACACAAAAAAATCTGAAGCTTGAAAATACGTCTATAAAAATTCTGCCTTAAAAAATCAATTGTCTTAAATTTCAGAGGTTCAATATTGCAATTATAAAATTCAAATTAACAAATTCAAAACAAGAATTAAAATAATATATTATATTTATACTATAAATAACAAATAGAAACAGAAATAGAATAACAATTTTAATGGCATAAAAAATCTGATTTATTAAAGTTTAATTTTCAATCATTGAAATTAACACAATTCAAATTCAGATTGTTTTGGCATTTTATTAGCTCCATACACATAAAGAATAACAAACTTGCATGTGAAAAAGACGCCAAATGTGAATGGCCCCTTACACCTTTATTCTGGGATTGCCATTCTAAATTAATATACTTGTATAAAGTAGTATCTCGAAGCTTACTGGGGCATATTTTAGTTTTTTTGTTGTTGTTTTTTTGCACCATCTCCCCATGCTGCCCCCAGCAAGATGCAATCATAGGTGATCGTCCATATTGGTAATAAATCTGTCACTAAATATTGCACATTTGACATTTAGATAAAAATGTCTAGTCAGAATGCATAAGGAGTCAGCTACACTGTTAAAAAAATCAGAAATGTTAGCTTTTTCAGAGATAATTTCTGTAATTTAACGTTCATAATTTCATGGTAAAGTTCTGTAATTTAACTGTCTTTATTTTATTGTAAATTTCTTTAATTTAACGTTTGTTATTTTACCGTAAATTTCTGTAATTTAATGTTCATTATTTTACGGTAAATTTCTGTAATTTAACGGTCGTTATTTTTTTACAGTAAATTTCTGTAATTTAACAGTCATTATTTTATGGTAAATTTCTGTAATTTAACGGCCGTTATTTTAACAGTAAATTTCTGTAATTTAACAGCCGTTATTTATATATATATATATATTTTATGGCACCCCAGCTTTTTTTTTTTTTTTTTTTTTTTTTTTTTACAGATTACATTACTAAATACAATTTTTATCATGTAATCAGCAACATAATCCACCCAGCCCTGCTTGTTACCTTACTTTCTCTTTGTTTTCCTTCAAAAGTATAATTTCTCATGTTTGTGAAGCAGCCCTAGTTTTTCCCCCCATGCAGACTGTTTGTCTGTTGCTCAAAAAGACTTGACTTCACATTAATACACTTTGGAAGTATACAGTCACTCACTGGGCTTTATTTTCTGTGTGATCCCTGGCCTTGAAAATATCACACTGCCCCAGGCTTTCCCTCGTACGAAAGAAGAAATGAATCCTCTCAGCTGTAGTCTGGTTATTTTTAGCTTGCTGAATGGAGTTGCAGATACCCCATATAAAGCCAGATACTTCATTTAAGAATTGAGAAAGAGGTTAGCTAGTGAAAAATTTGGTTGGTATGACATTTTCATATGTTGATCTCTTTCCTCAGAGGATAATGCTTCATGTGGCCTAAAGATCAGGAGTCAAGTGTGCATATGCATGTTGCAGGATCTTAACTAGCCTTAATCCATTATCCAGCCTCACTTCTCTCAGAGAATTTCAGTTAGCTGAGCAGAGTTCAAAGGTAAAGCTCGTCTTTACAGTTCCTTAGCAACCAAGAACTTGTTTGCATGTACTTGTAAAAGGACGAACAAACTGTTTCATTTATATATATATATTTTATAGCAATCATTCACTTTTAAAGGCCACAAATGAACAAATTGTGCTATGAAGGTCAATGCATTTCCAGCATGCTTTTTGTTTTTACATTGTTTGTTTTCTCATCACAGGCAATTGAAACAAGACGCTGTGCATATAAAAAATGATTACGGTGAAATGCAATGAAATACATCTAATAATCTAGTTCATGTCTCGTTTCGGCGAGGACAAATTGCTGAGATGCATGAATAGTTTTTTTTTTCTGCCACATTCTTGTCTGGTTGTCCCAGAGTTCAGAGGGCAGAAATAGAACAAGACACAAGATATTTGGAGTTAAATCGGCGAGAACAGTAGACACCATTCAGCACCATGTCACCCAGGAATCTCCCTCGAGCCTATATTCTTGTTTAAACTGGCCAATGCCCAAGAGCATGCGCTCGCTCATTAATATTCATCGACTCCTGAGTGTAATAATAATGATGGGAAAATTTGACCATTTCTATCCCTCACTCAGAGCGATCTGTTATCAGAAATCCCATGCCTTGCTGTAATTCTGTGCTTAATGAGGATTTGAAATGAAATTGAGCAGGTTTCTTAAGGCTCAGCTGAATTATCCAAAACAAAGTGCTGTCAAATAATGTTTGCACACTGTCAGTTCTTTTAAAAGGGAGGAAAATATTATTATTTTAATATCCAAAAGGAATACATTCGCCCACAAATCCTATCCCAAAATTATAATGTTAATAATTGTACTACGGCTGCAAGCAGAAATTAAAGTAGTCAGTGTGAAATCAAAATTTTCTATGTTTATTTTGCTAGAGCACATGCTCAAGTGCCGGTGTCCTGCAGAGTTTAGCTCCAATCAGACACACCTGAAAAAGCTAATTAAGCACTTACTTTTCATTCTAGAAGCTTCCAGGTAGAGGTGTTGAGACAAGATGAAGCCTCCAGGACCAAGTTTGGGCACCACTGCCTTAGGCGAACAATTAATCCTTTAATCCACCAAAAAAAAAAAAAAAAAAAAAAAAAAAAAAAAAAAAAAATTGGTAATCTTTAATCAAAGTCTGACCATTTTTTTTTCGGTGTTTGAAGTAGCTGTCCTTCTCTGTTTGATGGATTCAGCTAGAATATCCTTAAAGTTAGTGTGATTTGACCACGGACACGTTCGTGGATTAACAACTATGTTGATCGTGGAACAACATTCCAATCAGCCAATCAGAATTAAGGGATGCGTTTACAGTTTCTGTTAATTTTCGGCTTACGGTTAGGGTTATGTACTTCTACATGATTGTTATTCAACTATTATTCCCCTCTGACTTTGGGAATAATTTACAGTTATGGTTGGGTTTAGGGTATAGGGAAAAGCTATGGATTACATTTTTGCATAAAAGTTATGTGAAAATCCAAATTTGGCTAATGGTGGACAAAGTTTGGTGTAAGTTTTGCAAATTTTTGTAATCTGTAATTGAACACAGATAATCTAGCAGTTAGAAAAGCGAGTTAATTGTTCTCAGATTGTTCCACGAAATCTTTTAAGAATAAGATCTTTTTTTGACAACAGGCCAAACTATAAAATATAGTTACATCTTTTTGAGTACCTACAGCGCAGAAGATTATGGACTTCATCTTTTGAAAATGTAGCATTTTATGGCGAAATTCATAATGGCTAACAAGTAAAAATTTATATTGCTATTTAATATCAATATGCTGCTATGAATTCAAAAATAAATTTTAAGACTTTTGGCCAAACCAGCCTGATCTTGTGAGGAAACGTAACTATTTTATGTTTTATCAGTTTAGTGGCTAATTTATATGAATTCATACAAGTTCAGTCAAACGAAAATAAAAAGGAGGTGTGGCACCAAACCCCACCCCTAAACCCAACAGTCATTGGGGAATAAGCGAATCATAATAAATTGTGCAAATGAGATTGTATGAATTCATCCGAATTAGCCACTAAATCAAAAGTTGGAAATTGTGTTGTCATTTTTCAAATCTCATGCCAGTTGTGCAGACAACCTTAGGTTATGAATGTCAAACACACAGTAAGGCTTCATCCAAAATTTCAAACTTCCATACAACATAATTGATTAAAAAAAAAAAAAACACTGTGCGACCAAAAAATTTGGTTTCAATTCAAAAAGTAAAACTGTTCATGAATAAAACGCAATTGGCGAAATGCAACTGAATCCTCTCCAGTCTGGAATTGAGACAAAAGATGATTATTTTTTTAGGCCTTAAGGTTTAAAAGTTAGCATGAGCAAAAATGCTAATTCTGAAAGTAGATGGCGTAAGAAAGATTGAGCTAGAGTCTTTAAATTTGCTGTGGTTAACAATAAGACTGTCCTAGTTCTATGTCAAAACTTCTTAAGATATATGGTTTTATAGGCTTCTATACACATTATTGTGGAGGAATAATAAGCCACTGTTAACCATTTCTTGTAGAATCTAAAGTAACTTACTGTAAATCAAGGTTTACTGTATATGCATTTACAGTATTGTATATCCTTACAGTAAAATATACAGTAATTTTCACACTGCAACTTTAAAATACAGTAACACATTGCATAACTGTCCTACAGTAAAATGCAGTTCATATTACAGTTAAATACTGTGTCATTTACCAAAATCAGTGTGGAAAAAGTAGGTGTGTTGCCCCCATAAAAAAATAAATTAAAAATAATGAAAGAGGTAATTCTTACAACAATGACAAATTTATTGAATCATTTATTTGAGCTGTTCCAGCAAGTGTATTTACAAACAATGGCATTTGAAGATATAAAAAGGTGTCATATCATAATGCAAGTCAGCGCTGCACCGTCGGCGACGTCATAGCAAATGTCTACTATTCAGGCAACACAGCCAAGAAGTGAAGGGAAATGGTGGTTTAGATATCATGGTCTTCACAGCTGTATGAAGAAGCAGGTGTGGAGAGAATTAGGAAATGATGTCTAACACCGGGACCAAAATGAGGAGAGAACACAGGAACACAACTGCCTTGTGGTGGAAAAAACCCAGGACGTTCAATGAGATTCCTTTGACCTCCGTGTAAAATGTTGCATATGGACAAAGACAGACACTACAGGCCATTTACAAAAATAACTCTTCCTGAATTAAACCCAACAATGTCCTTCTAGGTTTGTTCCCATGACAATAAATGGACGACAGCATTTCTTTGTGGAGCCATAAAATGTTCCACAGGAGGTTTTTAAAGAATGAGGATGTCTTTCAAAGCACATTATTATAAGTAATTACTATTTTAAATGTCTTATTTTTAATGGTTACCAAACAATCTAAGGTAATCAAATTAATCAGTAAATGTAGTCTGACCAAACATATCTGATTTGACTAGGTTAAGGCTTCATCTCATCTCTTTTATGCTCCAAATCACTGCATGATATGCTTTGCTAGACAACATACGGATACACAGCATCCATACAGACGTCGACACGTAGATGTGAATGGAAAACAGGAAAAGCATTCAAGCAAGGAGAACAAGGAGCGGGGCAAATATTTACCCTGTTTTTGTGTCTGTAAAGGCCATTACTATTGATCCCAGCAGGAGATCTCATCTTTCTCCATCTCTGGCCAAGTTCACTGGAGTAACGCTAGCCTGCGGCTGAACTGGACACCGCGCTCCTCCTGTGCTGCTGTCGATTTTTTTAATTCCAGAAATAACCCACATGAGGCCTCGCAGTATGTGGTCTGCGTGCCAGGCACTTTGGACAACATCAAAGAGCCTATTAAATCATGTTAGGGTGTCAGTTGCCACCCGGGTGGAAGCAGCGTCCCGCTACTGTTTCAGGACATCTCAGATGAGCTTTTAGTGCGGTCGACTTTGTGTTTAAAAAAATAAATAAATAAAAAACAGCACAATTCATGTTAATTAAAGAAAAGCCTGTGTGAGAATTCGCTTCGAGGATGTAAGAAAATAATTTAATTGCTTTCAGTTCATGCTTAGAAAGAAAAAGAATCCTTAAAAACGTTTCTTTTTTTTAAAAACATAAATTAGCAGTTTTTGTTGACCCAATTAAAATGCTAATGCTGTTCATTGTGATTACTTTAGGCTAGAAAGACAGGAAGCAATTGCAAAAATGAATTTCAACTACTTCCTACCTCTGCTCATCTGTAATAATGAACTTTAAACTTCTGGTTTTGTTCATTTAGGAGACACATTTGTGTTGTTTACAGGCAAGAAGGCATAACGGTAAAATGCTTCAGTGTTTATAGCATTAATGCATTACATTTTACTTTAATATTTGGATATTTCCAGACAATTCGACAATATTATCACTCGACTGAATGGGCGTTATCAGTGGTTATCAACTGATAGATATGGGCCAGTACTGAGCACAGGCACACAACATCATAAGATGTTTAAAATTAAGTTATATTTAGGGAGTGACGTCAGCTGACCAAAATTCAATGTCTAGCCAGAGTCTAAGGACAAAATTATTTTGAAGTCCAATAACGATGTCAAATTACGTTTTAGGTTGTGTTGGAAAGTGACCAAAATCCAACGTCTGATAGATCCACTAGTATACCACTAGTATACCACGATACCACTAGTCATAGTGGTAACGTCCAAACAATGTCAAGGTGTAACATGAACAGACGTTGATATTTGGATAATTTTAGGTTGAAAATCGGTTTGACGTCAGAACCCAACATCAGGCCAATGTCAATGTCCAACCTAAAATCATTTACAAACAAACTCTAACATCCCCATGACGTTGGTGTACAGGTACAACATCAATATGAAGTCATGTTGACATCCTGTGGCTGCAGGGTAGGGGCTTTCTGCAACTACTAGTAGGCTCTGAAGGCTGTTATTATCCACCCACATGGTTAATCATCTATAGTTCACATACAACTGCGGCCAGAAGTTAACTAGATATATTATTTATTAAATTATTTATTTATTATTATAATAAATAAATATTATTATTATCATTTATTATTATATTATTTATTAAATCCCCATTAATTGTTTTTATTAATGTCTACCTCTACCCCAACCCTAAACCCAACTGTCACAGTAATGTAAAAGCAGATCTGGAGTCTTCTCTAAGAGTATAGATGAATAACCACAATAATTATTTATATTATTTGTTAAATTTCCCATTATTTGTAATTATTAAGGTCTACCCTAACATCAACCCCAAACCCAACCATTACAGTAATGTAAAAGCTGATCTGGATCTGCAGTTTTCTCTATTAGTATAGATGATTAACCATGTGGATGGATTATAACAGCCATCTGAGCCCAAGAGAAGGAGCAGAGGGACCCTACTAGCCCATATCTATCGGCTGATAACCACTGATAACGCTCATTCAATTGAATGAGAACATTCGAAGTGGGTGATATTTCAGAGGATTTTCATTTTACTAAAAAATATTCACAACCTAATTATTATACATTTCTAATAGAGGCTTGTTTCTCTCTCTAAATAAATAATAAAATAAAGTTAAGCGAAACAGTGTCTCGTTGATATATATTTCGAGGTTATGAAAGAGCAGTATTTATTTAATGGCATTTTTGACAGCAAGCAACATAAAGTGTGGATCTGATTTAACAAAACAAAACAAAATTAGATTTTCAGGATTAAGTTCACTTTTTGTGAAGCGTCGCAAAAGTGACCAAGACTGAACATGATGAAGTTACGAGATTTCTAAAAAATAAAATCTAAAACAACTGAATGACTCCAGATTGTTAGGAGTATTATGACCGCTGACAGACGTGATATGAAAATATAACTTTTCTCCCTGATAACGTATCAAGGATCGACTTGCTAAAACGTTACTCCTAATGACAAGTTGCCATCTAAACCAATGTAAGTTGACTGAAGCTAAGTTGTGTTCCTTTCTCCCAAATGATGGCAGATGACTATCACAAACAAAGTGTCAAGAGCACTAAGACTGAACAATAAATAAGAAAAAACGATGATTCACCAAACAAATTAGTATATTCACTCAAACCACTGATCCGTGAGGCTTCGTACTCCTAACAAAACATCGATTTTGGCAGCTACACTTGAGCGTTTTTACTTCAAGAACACCACATCTGCGTTTCAGTCCCACCTGTACACAATGTACAAAAAACGAGTGCTTTTCTTTTTCTTTAATCTACGAAAACTCTTCAAAAATTGTCACCGTTCACCTGAGCACCTGAGTCCGTGCGGACTACTCTGGTTGAGATATTAAAAAGCTCCCTGCTCTCCCTCTGTATGAGGTTTATGCTATCAGGCAACAAAGTGCCTTGATATCTAGTAGAGTCAGCAGTTGAGTCCATAGTGACGACGTTTACCCACAATGCACCTGTAGAGATCCCTCAGATAGTCCTCTCGCTCTTGTTAGAAGATTTCAGCAACACTGAAAGAGGTCTTTGTGAAAGAGAGTCCTTTTCTTCCTCTGCCCCCAATTACAAGGCCCTCTCCAGCGTCACATGGGGGCACCGAGAGGACACAGACCTATTTTTGTATGCTTGTTTTTTCATGGGTCTACGAGAGACGGTTTTGGGGAACTTGTATTCATCGAAAACCATCTAGTTATATCGGCGTGCATCTTCCAGAGCAAGAAACTACATTTCAGTCGAGAGAAGGATCTCTAATGTTTCTTAAAAGTGCTCGATCACGAGTCCTCCTGTATTCTTCAGGTCTGTATGGGACGCTATAAGGATGAGAGAGAGGCAAGAAGCACCAGAACTGAAGCCAACAAAGGCCCTACAGTCTGAACACGTCCCGCGCTGTTCACGTCACTTCGGGATGGCTCGGCAGATTCGTGACTTGTTCCATCTAAATGGAGGAAGAAGAAAAGAGAACGATTAAAGTTTGCAAATCTCCTCAGTCGCTGATAGTTAAAGGGTGCTTTCACATCTAGGTGTTTGCTTCAGAACCTGGCACGTTTCCCCCATAGCTCTGTTCAATTAGTCATATGTGAACATTACAATCGCGCTCGAATTTACGCCAAAACTTTTCTTTTGCACAGTTAAAGTGCACTTTTGGAAGATGAAAGCATGATGTTTAACTGAATATTTTAACTTAAGTTAAATAAATTAATAACTAACTAAAATAATAAGTTTAACTATTTAAAAAATTATATATATATATATATATATATATATATATATATATATATATATATATATTTATATATATATATATAAACAACTAAATGATTCATTAACGAGACAACTAATAATGCATAATTTGTGATCTGTGAAACCTGTTTATTTAGGCCTTTTATATACAATAGAAATTATGTTTTGTTGTTCGCACTGCTGCAATTTACACATGGAAATTGAAACATCTGAAAATATTTATTATTATTATTAGCTGGGTCAGTTGGTGTTTCTGTGTGGAGTTTGAATGTTCTCCCTGTGTTCGCGTGGGTTTCGTCCGGGTGCTCCGGTTTCCCCACAGTCTAAAGGCATCCTCTATACACTCACTGGCCACTTTATTAGGTACACCTTACCAGGTTTGACCCCATTTTGCCTTCAGAACTGCCTTAATCCTTTGTGGCACAGATTCAACAAGGTTCTTAAAATTATTCCCCTGAGATTTTGGTCCATATTGACATGATATCACGCAGTTGCTGCAGATTTGTCGGCTGCATATCGATGATGTGAATCTCCTGTTCCACCACTTCCCAAAAGTGCTCTATTAGATTACGATCTGGTGACTGTGGAGGCCATTTGAGTACAGTGACATATTCTGACCCATTCGAATGTTGCAGCAGAAATGGAGACTCAGACCAGGCAACATATTTCCAATCATCTATTGTCCAATTTTGGTGAGCCTGTGCGAATTGCAGCCTCAGTTTCTCATTCTTAGCTGACAGGAGTGGTATCCAGTGTGTTCTTCTGCTGCTTTAGCCCATCTGCCTCAAGATTTTACGTGTTATTCGTTCAGAGATAGTCTTTTGCATACCTCAGTTGTAAAAAGTGGGTATTTGAGTTACTGTTGCCTTTTTCTCAGCTCAAGCCCGTCTGGCCATTCTCCTCTGACCTTTGGCATCAACAAGGCATTTGCGCCCACAGAGCTGCCGCTTACTGGATATTTTCTCATTGTCTGACCATTCGCTGTAAACCCTAAAGATGGTTGTGCGTGAAAATCCCAGTAGATCAGCAGTTTCTGAAATACTCAGACCCATCCATCTGGTACGAACAACCACACCATGTTTAAAGTCACTTAAATCACCTTTCTTCCCCATTCTGATGCTCGGTTTGAACTGCAGCAGATCGTCTTGACCATGTCTACATGCATTTGAGTTACTGCCATGTAATTGGATGATTAGAAATTTGTGTTAACAAGCAGTTGGACAGGTATGCCTAATAAAGTGGCCGGTGAGTGTAGGTAAGTTGGGTACGCTATATTGGCCATAGTGTATGAGAGTAAATAAGAGTATATGGGTGTTTCCCAGTGATGGATTGCAGCTGAAAGGGTTATTACAGCCGCTGTGTAAAACATATGCTGGATAAGTTGCCGGTTCATTCCACTGTGGCGACCCTTCATAAATATAGGGATCAGCCGAAGGAAAATGATTGAGTGAATAAATGTTTTGTTCATATTAACACTGACACTTCAATTGATCCTCCATTCATCTGAATCATGTTCTAAACGCAATCTCAGTTCATTTGTTAATTTTCCCCATACGTAAATGTATAAATGCATAATTCTAGCCAACTCATTCTAAAAGCTCATAGATAATAATGAAAATGTGAATGAAAACAATAGTTATTACATGTCTAATTTTAAAGTAACAGATAAATTTAAGAAAAATGATGGACAACAGATTATGGCAAAATGTTTACAGCCCTTTACAATTGAAATAAGGTTGATCTCTGATTTATACCTATCTTTAATGAGGATGTCTGTGGGTATGACCATTTAATATTGAAGTGACAGCTATGAGCAAAACCCCAGAAAATAAACCGTGAAACTGACCAATGTGGAAAGTTTATTCGCACGTGACTAGTTTTAACAATTTTGTTCCATTTAGAAACTTTGTCGTGTGATAGCAAACTGCACCAAGAATAAAAGCATTGTAACAATTTGAATCGCTGTTTTGGAACAAAATCAATCTACAGACGTGAAAGCACCCTAAAATACAATTTATAATTTAACGTTCAATACAAACCATTATTATTTTCTATAGAGTTAATGCTTCGATCATCGAATTTGTCGACGCGATCGTGACTTTTATCGCAGTTGTCTGTGGGAGAAACATAAAACAGGGTGTTGTCATCATCTTTAACTCATTGAACTGTTCTAGAGCTGATAAACGATGCAATTGCAAGCAGCTTTTGTCAGAAGCCACGCCAGGATCTCTCCTGAGGGGCCTGTAAAACTTACTCGTAGGTCTGACGAAAACTTTCAGCCTCAAGCAGCTCCGTCTCCCATTTTCAGCCAGTGTAGATGCTGTGGAAACATTTCAGATGATCAATATGAGGGCCGATCGATTCATGCTGCACACATTGTTTAATAAATCAAAGTCCTTTTTTTAAGACAACAGTAAAACATTTTTATACCTGGTCGAGCCAGAGCTTTACACGCACTGCCAACATTTTCATCTACATTTACATTAGTCATTTAGCAAATGCTTTTATCCAAAGCAACTTACAAATGAGGTACAACAAGCCATTTATCAGGAGAGACAACGATGTTCACAATGCTGTGTTTCAAGTGTGATGCAGAGCAGCATTTAAGATAAATCTGTATTATTGTGAGAGGAGCCATAGTTTAGATTCATTGCTTATGGTATCTTTTTGGTCCATCAGTTTGACTGTTTCTGAGTGAAAAATAATAGACATCTTACATTTCTAACATGAACTACAAAAGACATCAGCTAAAATACCCTTCAGTGTATTGATGTACACTACCGGTCAAAAGTTTGAGGTCAGTTTAAAAAAAATCTTTTTAAAGATAATTATTCTGTTCAACAAGGCGGCATTTATTAAATGTTAAAAACTGTTAAATTGTTAAATTTTTATTTATTAAATATGTATTCATTACTTATTGTATGTAGATTCAACTGAAAATATTACTCCAGTCATTATTGCTTTTATTACTACTTATTTCTAAAATAAGAAATGAGTTATTAGAAACTTGTTATTAATGCTATAACTACCCCACCAAGATCAATTTTTGGAATCCATTTCTTAACTCTTAATGTCACTAGTTAACACACTCAGTGCATTTTTTTCAACACATCCCATAATTTCTAAAATATCAACCTCTACCAAATGGTTTTTGGTTAAATATTTGTCGGTTTTTGGTAAAATATATGTCGGTTTTTGGTAAAAGTACTGGAATTAATACACACAAAAATCTGAAAATATGAAGTGTAAGACCAATTTATTTAAAAACTTAATCAAAATAAAACATTTTTGAATACTGAATCATTATATTTTTAAAGGTATGCCATGAAATATTTCAGATTCTCATTTAACATGCCATTTTTTTTTTTACAATAAAAACAAAATCAAGTGAGTTATTGCAACAGGATTATGTTCGTTTGATTTTTTTTTGTAAACCAATAATATTGTGTGTGTAAGCCATTATTTAAAACAGCTATTCTTTAACAGTCGTTATTAAAAACAATAAAAATATTGTCAAACATTTGGTAGAGCGGCAAAGAGCTACATCTATTGATTAAAAATGTGTGATATTTGTTAAACAGAAGCTGGAAAATATTTTTTTTATAGAATTAAACCTTTTGCCTTCAACTGTACGTATAAACACAAAGATACACTTCTGGAGAGACCACTTGAAAAATCTGTTTTCTTGGATTTACAATTTTTGATAATAGCAATAATTTATGTTTTGACATTTATTCACAATTGAATATAAGTGTTGTCATTTAGAGCATACTTTGCTTGCGTTGTTTCCAGTGAGGACTTGTTCATGCTTTTATCAGCAGCAGGGTGGATTACTGTAATGGACTCCTCACTAGCCTTCCTAAATACTGTTGCAGTTCATCCAGAACGCTACTGCCAGGATTCTGACCAGAACCAGAAAATCAGAGCTCATCACAACTGTCCTCAGGTCGTTACGCTGGCTTCCAGTTACATTCAGAATAGATATTAAAGTATTGCCACTTGTCTAGAAATCACTAAATGGCCTAGGACCTCAATACATAACAGACATGCTCACTGAATACAAACCTAACAGATCACTCAGATCTATAGAATCAAATAAAGTAGAAATTCCAAGAGTTCAGTCAAAGCAGGGTGACTCCGCTATTATCTACTACAACCCCCACTGCTGGAATCAGCTTCCAAAGATGATCAGATGTGCTCCAACTTTAGACACATTCAAATCAAGACTTAAGACACATCTGTTTAGCTGTGCCTTTACTGAATGAGCACTATGCTACGTCTGACAGATCAAACTGGTATGCCTTTCTTTTCTTTTTCATTCTCTTCTAACTCGTTTTAACACATTTTAATCTGTTTGAATCATTTTTAATTATTTTAATAATTTTTGTTTCTTTAATTTTGTTTATGTAAATCACTGTGAATTACCATTATCTATGAAATGTGATATATAAATAAACCTGCCTTGCCTTATTTTAGCATTAAATACCAAAAAGCAAAAAAAAAAAAAATGTTTCCATTCATGTTTATATTCATTTCTAGACAATACAATTCCAAAGTTTTCCTTCATAAGAATAATCAATATTTTTTTAATTCAAATCTCTAAATCTAAAACAATTCCTAAACTGTTATCTGAATTTTGTAATAAATATTATCAGATCTTTACAGAACGTAAGATATATTTGTAGCCATAATTTTGAGCCTTTCCCAAATAATGACTATACATTTCTAAGATCTCTGCACACGCATTTTAAAGTCCATTTCCTAACACCTGTCCTCTCCGTTCTCATCACCCCCTATATCTCCCGAACAGAGCAGTACTGTGGACTACTGTGAGAGCTGTGAGAGGAGCAGAAGATGTGAGCTTCAGCAGTCATCGCTGAAATGGCTTATGGGCCGAACAGAAGTCATTTGTATCATCACAGCTGATTACGGAGCTTTTAGTGGCAGGTGTTTCTTTGGGCCTGTGATCTGTCATTTGCAGCTGTTGATGTTACCAGCCGCCAGAACAGCTTTAAGTAGAGGGTGTTGATGTATGTAGTGACCAATCAACATCTAAGAGGCTCGTGGAAAGGTCACAGCCAGCAGAGGTTAGTGAAAGGACCTCGGGAAAAAAGCGTAAATTTGCTGTCCGGTGAAAAAGAACCTGCCGTAAGTGATGCTTGTGGTCAAGATAAGAGTGTTCAATAAATATCTGCCGCCAGTAAACAAATGTAAAGGGAAAGAGCAATTCATCATCCTGCCACTAATGAACCGTGCGTGCAGGGAACATTAGTCTTAGTTTATTTACACCGAATTACATTGTCAAATACTCCAAATTTCCAGCATTCAGCCAGAAAAACAAGACATCCATTTCAGTTTTGTTTATTTTGTCGGTAAGGAAAAGCTCAAATCGCATGTCCACATCAGTGAAAGCCAGCTCCGACAATTGAATTATCAAGAACATATTGTGTTGGCTATAAGGAAATTGCATTTTCGGCAGTCCGTACTCATTACGCTGAGGCGGTGAAAGAGGGGATTTATTGAAGTGCTTCGCATTGCTCATTACTTAGTCACCTTTACGTCTAGTGTGATCTGTTGGAAAAAACACCAAGGCTTACTTTCACCCCCCCATCACCCCACCGGTGTACATTTGCATCTCTCTTTGGCTGTGCCAGATTGCATTACAAACTGCATAAAGAGGAGACAGTGGAGAGAAAGACTGTCTACCTGTTCTTCTTAAAGGGATAGTTTACCCAAAAATGACATTATACTTTTCCCAGTGCTGGGTTGCAGCTTAAAGGGCATCCACTGTGTAAAACATATGCTGGATAAGTTGGCGGTTCATTCCGCTGTGGTGACCAGGGGCAGACTGGCCATCTGGCAATTCTGGCAATTGCCAGAAGGGCCGGACCAATTTTTAAATGTGGGCCGGTCAGTTTTTTTTTTTTTTATATGTATTGTTTTTAAGTGCAGACAGCTTTTATCTCTTGCTAGATGCTATTATGTTGATGATAATAATACTAATTATTAATGTTAAGCATTTGGCCCAATCGGCAATTGCTGCCTGGTTTCAAGATGGGCCGACCCTATCTGAGGTTACCTGGACATAATCAAAATCTGGCAAGAATGTCATATTATTTCACCATCTGTACACCAAAATTAATAGTGAATGTGCGTGTCCGTGGGTGGGGCTGTGTCGGTGTGGTAATTTGTGTCGGTGTGGTAGTTTGTGTGGCTACAGTGCCAGGGCTGAATTTTTGTCCCAGTCCGCCCCTGGTGGTGACCCTTGATGAATGAATGGCCTTAGCCGCAGGAAATTAATAAACTAATGTATGGTACTATACTTGTTCTCAAGTGATTCCAAATCTTGAAAAAGTACATTTTTTATGTTAAACACAGAAGAAGATACTTTGAAGAATGTTCGAAACTGATAACCCTTGACTTCCATAGTAGGTAAAATAAATATATGGTAGTAAAAAGCTACCAGTTTAAACTTTTTTTTAAAATAAGCATTTTTTGAAATAAGTTGTTTTGATTAAAATAAACAAGAAACTCAAATAAGTTTTGAATGAATGATGACAGAATTTTCAATTTTGGGAAAACTATCCCTGTAAGGGAAGACACTGATGGTTGATTATATTATTATTAATATAAATTTTAATTATTTAAAATTAATTACAATTATTTCATAAAAAATGTTGTTTATATATGCAAATTGTGCATTATTTAATTAAATATGTATTAATTTGCTTACATTTCCAGAACAAAAATTCTGAACATCGGAAGAAGATTTATTTCTGACTTATTAAGTGTCAAGGTGTTTTACAAAGGAAATGTTGAGGATGTGCTTTTATCACTTTATATAATTATAATAAAGAGAATATTTTTTCAACACATCATATCAAAAAAAAAAATATATATATATATATATTTTAAAGGGGCTAATAATTTTGACCGCAAAATGGTTTTTAAAGAAATTAAAAACTGCATTTATTCTAGCCAAAATAAATAAGACTTTCTCCACAAGAAAAAATATTATCAGAAATATTGTGAAAGTTTCTTTTCTCAGTTAGGGTTCCAATCAGGGCTACACAATATGTCGTCTCAGCATTGATATCACAATGTGCAAATCTGCAATAGTCACATCGCTGGATCTGTAATTTGTGATTATAATTAACCGGGAACCACAATTTATAGAACACACAATTTATAGAGTGATTTTTGAAGTCATTGCAAAGTTGAACTTTATTATAATTTTATTATTAAGATATTCATTTGTATGTTTTTAGGGCCAGTTACTGTAAGATTTAAAGCAAATTTGGGCACAAGAAATTCTAAAGT